TCCAGTATAAATAAAGTTAGTTTACTTTAGGTTTCCTCCTGTAGTAACACTGGATCAATAAGAGATGATCCTTACTTGACCTCTATAGGAAGAACAGTTTAGAACTGATAGAGCTATCCACTATAAATAAAGTTAGTTTAGTTTGGGTTTCCTCCTGTAGTAACACTGGATCAATAAGAGATGATCCTTACTGGACCTCTATAGGAAGAACAGTTTAGAACTGTTAGAGCTATCCAATATAAATAAAGTTAGTTTAGTTTAGGTTTCCTCCTGTAGTAACACTGGATCAATAAGAGATGATCCTTACTGGACCTCCAGGGAGAACAGTTTAGAACTGATTGAGCTATCTAGCATAAATAAATTTAGTTTAGGTTTCCTCCTGTAGTAACACTGGATCAATAAGAGACGATCCTTACTGCACCTCTAGGGAGAACAGTTTAGAACTGATAGAGCCATCCAGTATAAAAAATATAGTTAATTTACTCTCGTTTCATCGGTTTCAGTCGCAACATGCCAAGACTACAGAGATAGTGGTCTCACAGAATCAGGTATCTACACTCTCACACAACCAACTGGCCAGCAATTTAAATCTTACTGTGACCTTGAAGATGAAGGCGGGGGATGGATAATCTTTTTGAGAAACGATGGTCAAGATCCACAACTCTTTGATCAAGATTGGGAAACATACCAAAATGGATTTGGGGATCTGAATTCGAATTTTTGGTGGGGGAATGAATTTCTTCATCTTGTGACGAAAACTACATCTCATGAACTTAAAGTGGACCTCATCAAATCGTCCGCAACCGGCTATGTAAAGTACACTGGATTTCAGGTATGATTATTGTTGTTTTGGTTGATGTTGTTGTATGTTGCCGTTGTTTTTGCTTTTGATATTGTTGTTCATAATATTGTTATTAATTTTTTTTCTGTGTTGGTGTTATGTACTCAGGTGAATATGATTTTTGTGATGTTACTCTGAGTGTATATCCACATTGGGCTAGTATTCCAAAGGTCGTAGGTTCGATTCCCACCGTGGCCAGGCATATTTTTTAACATCGCTAAAATTGTTATTAATGTTGTTTTTGCTTGTGTTGTTGTTGTTGCTTGTCTTGTTGTTGCTTGTCTTGTTGCTTGTCTTGTTGCTTGTCTTGTTGCTTGTCTTGTTGCTTGTCTTGTTGTTGCTTGTCTTGTTGTTGCTTGTCTTGTTGTTGCTTGTCTTGTTGCTTGTCTTGTTGCTTGTCTTGTTGCTTGTCTTGTTGCTTGTCTTGTTGCTTGTCTTGTTGCTTGTCTTGTTGCTTGTCTT